CTTACGACTCAAGAGAGAGTGGTTTCTCATCACTTCTCGGGTCAAATCCACACAGCTCAGCTCAGGGCTGGGCCTCACCGACTGCCAGCAGCTTGGCACGCTCATGACCAAGGTGTGTCACCCAAGCCAGCTGCCACTCACCACGGACACTGCCACTGAAGGCTCACCACCACTTGGGGCTTTTCTTTTACTGTTTGACACCCACATCATTTTTGCCAGTCTACTTCTATCATGCCCTTCTAACCTCAACTCAGAAAATAAAGAGGAAAAGTTTATGTTTTTTGAAAAAGGTAACAGTCTTTGAAAAAGAGTAGAAACAGTCAAAAGACAAATACCAATGTTTAACAATATTTCTAGTCCTGAGAGAGTTTAAATACCTCATAGTATAATTGTAGGTGGGTTATTTTTGGTTACCGATTCTGAACATACTTATTGAGCATCAGTTATGTGTGAAACACTGTCTTCGGGGGGAGATGAGTATGATCTAATCCTTGGCCGAGAGCAACTTCCAGTCCAAGGAGGAGATAGGAGACACCCAGGAAGTAAGCAGTTAGAACATGGTGTGAGGAAGTTTCCAGTGAAGGCTCGTCAAGGGAGGGATCCCAGGTACTGAGTCCTGAAGAATGGCAGGAAGCAGATAGGGTGGTGGGGGCTCAGTAGGCATAGAGAGCAGCTTGTACAGGCTTGGAGGCAATTCAGAAGTCCTTAGGGGGCTTCCCTGGTGGCGCGGTGGTTGAGAGCCTGCCTGCCGATGCAGGGGACACGGATTCGTGCCCCGATCCGGGAAGATCCCACGTGCCGCGGAGCGGCTGGGCCCGTGAGCCATGGCCGCTGAGCCTGTGCGTCCGGAGCCTGTGCTCCGCAACGGGAGAGGCCACAACAGTGAGAGGCCCGCGTACCGCAAAATAAAAAAAAAAGTCCTTAGGTCTTTATAAGAGAGGTGTACTTCCAGGACAGCAGGGATAAATCAAGTCTTGACTTTCTCTGCTCCAGGCTGACCAGTTCTTACTCCTCTCCTCAAGACAGTCTGTCCCAGTGTAGGTCTTGGTGTCCAGAAGAGGCACAGGCAGGAGACCTGTGTTTTGTGTCCAGGTTGGAAGAAAAATGTTCAGGTTTTCAAACTGAGATATCTATCCAAATGACAGGACATAACATTTACCACCTAGGACAGATGGTGACCGTAGTTTTAATAGCACTTTAAAGGCCCAGTGTGCTTCAGGAAGAAAGTCCTTCACACCCTCTGAAAAAGTAATGGATGTGGAAACTTACATGACTCCTAATGAAACTTTAGAGGTAGGCAATAGAAGGGATATTGGCATGTTGAGTCCCTTCCAAATCCTCCAAATTTGTGACTCCCGAGCATTCTGATGAAACTAGTGATGGGCTTACAATTCCATTTATGGATTTTGTAATGCATTTTGTTTTGACTCTTACTATGTGTCAGATGGACTTCTATTTCCCCCCAGATGGGACTTCTGTGACTAGTCACTCTAATTCTGCATCAGTGCCAGTTGTTTTTCCATCACTCTAGAATATCAGTAACACTAGCAAATCTCCAAGCAGGCGATGTTGTATCACACCTAACGCTTAGACTTGGCCAAAATCAAGTCCATGAGATGAACTGCAGACAAGTAAAAGCCGTTATGTACTTAACGGCACCAAAATTTTCCACTACAAATACTGTTTTTACTTTTTCTTACTTAAAAAAATAAAAAAGTGCCTTGAGGGGCTTTGAATTTCTAAGCCTTTGAGATCAAAGATTTCTTCAGCTGCCTGAATTATAGGAATTTTGAAAAACAAAAACAAATCCTTTTCCTGCTATAAAATCCTTGCCATATTTTTGTCTTTATGTAATTCAAAACAGCTGAACTAAAAAATGAGGTTACTGAGTTCTAAAAACTCATTGGAAATGGAGTAGTCAATAACTTTGCAAGTGTCATTCTAATTAATCTGACCCAAGAATAAATTTTACTAAATTCTTATCTGATATTCCAGAAAATTGCTAAATAGCACTTAGAATTAAACAACTTGTGGCTAAGGATACCAAAATGTTTAAATTGTTTATTAAAGTGATTCAAGACTGAATTATAATAATGTGGGCATGGCGGTGGTAGCAGCCAGTGTAATTTTCCTGTGATTCCACGCACACCCTTGGCTACGTATGTGTCCTTTTAGCAGCATGATGGGCTAAATAGTGAGCTGTTTATTTCAAAAGCCTTTGCAGAAAACAAAGACCTTTTAATAAAGCAACAGTTTGTATGTAGTTAGCAGTTTGCTGATGTTTTTAGTATACAGCCTGACCCTCAGGATAAACTGCTTTTAGCAGGGGGGTGATGTTAGCTCATTGATCATCTGGGATAACAGACACCCTGACAGATTGCTACCTGTGCGCTAGTGGTCTCAGAATTTCAGCACTTCCAAAATGAACCGATTTTTGCTTTATCATTATGTTCATACTAATGAAAAAGCTAGATGGCAAATATGGTAAAAAGTACATGTCCTTATGCATGAGGCGTAGCAGTGGCTTATGTGCTTTCTGACATTTGAGACTTAAGGCACTTTATATGTATGAGGACATTTGTTTCCAATTTCCTCCTGTGTTACCTTTAAAAACAATTTTAGTAAGTTTTTTCCTAAGTATTCTATTATAAAGAAATACACTCTAGAGAAAAATTAGAAGACAAAAAGTAAAGAAAATATAAACATGAGTTTTAAAAATCCCACCATTTGCATTTGTTTTTATGTCAATCTACATTTTGTTGATTTTGCTTTATGAGAATGTATTTACATAATTGAGATCGTGCTGCATACAGAATTTCTACTTTTTTCTTTATAACACGGTACTCTAAGTTTTGTAGCATCAGTCTTAATGAATGCATACTACTCCTTTATAACCATTTTGGGACATTCAAGTTGCTTCCAGTATTTTGCAATCATAAACAATTCTGCAGTTCACATCTTTACACATAAAACTTTTCCAATATTGCTGTATTAGACAAAGACTTTAGGCTGTACATCACAAGAAATCAATTCACCCTGGCTTAAGCAAAAGAGGAACTGTATTAGCTTGGGTAATTAAAAAGCTAGGGGTAGAGATTGGCTTCAGGCATGGCTAGACTTAGGGGCTCAGCAGTGTCTTCAGGAATCCATCTTCCATCTCCTGGACCAGCTTCCCTTTGTGCTGATTTCATTCTCACGCCTGCTCCTTTACCTCTTCCCATAAGAAACAGCAGCTCTGTCCTAGCATTTCCAGCAGAACTCCCACAGTTGAAGCTCACTAATATGACTGGGGTCAAACATGTAACTCTGAGCCTGTCACTGGGGCCAGGACAAGGGAATGTTCCGACTGGCCTATAGGACCCCCTGCTCCCTTTCCCACCTCTCCCATCTGACTCCTCCACTGCCCTCACTCCGAACACCTGGACCCTTTGCTGTTTCTTGAACCCACCAGTCTGCCCTTCATCCAGGGCCACTACCCTTGTCCCCTCTGCCTTGCTCACTCTTCCCCCCAATGTCCCCATGGTTTGCTGCCCTCTCACTTCCTTCAGGCCCTGCTCAGGGACTGCCCTGATCACCTCTTCACTCTCTAGTCTCTCTCCCTATTTCTCTTTGTGGACTTATGACTACCTGATGTTCTGTTATATATTCACGTGGTATATGTGTGAATTATTTGTCTCCTTCCATGGGAACCACGAGGGCTGGCAGTTTCGTTTGCAGCTCTCTCCAGCATCTAATATTTATCAAGTGAGTTAATGAATGAGTTTGCCAGGCCAGGCATGTACCCATCTGTAGGGTCAGCCCACCCTAAGGATAAGAGATGTCTGAAAGGATGATGTGATTCCTCAAAGAAAACAGGTGGCCATCTCCGGACCAAGGGGGACTGGTTGCCAGACTATCCAAAACATTGTCACGCTTTCCAGTTCAGATCACTGTCTACAGCAAAGTCCCAGGAGTGGGATTCCAAAGGATACGAATGTTTTGAGTTTCCTGGTATGTACTTCAACCCCCTATAAAAATCCTCCTCATAGTAGACAAAATAGTCTTAAATGCAGATCATATCATGCCCCCCCCCAACTTAAACCCGATAGCTCCCCACTGTACTTGGAATAAAAGAAGAGCTCTGCCCTGGCACCCCAGGCCCCAAATGCTCCATTATCAGCCTTACTATCTGACCTCTCAGGCTGCAGCCCACTGGCTTTCTCTTCTGCCCTGGAATCCACACATTCCACCTCAGGACCCTCGTGTTTATCTCTCCCCTCTCTACCTGGAAGGCCTGGATCACAGATCTGGCCTGACAGCCGCCTCTTTCTCCTCAGAGCTCAGCTCAAATGTCCCCCCATGAGACCACCCAAACAGCACCCCTCTCCTTCACCTGCACCTGGGCCTTTCCAGCAAACCTGGTGTGTTTTCTTTACAGTGTCAACACCCTTGTATTTGTTACCTCATTTATTCTGTCTTCATCACTAGAATGTAAGTTCCATGATGCCTTTTTCTTGCTGTCCACTGCTGTATTCCCCAAACTCAAAGCTGGTACCTGGCACATCAAAGGCCTTTAATAAAGTTTTTTGGAAAAAAATAACAAAATGCTCTTCAGGAGGACTGTAGCAATTAACACCCCTATCAGCAGTAAGAATGCTCATTTCACCTCATCTCTCATTGAAGTGGTTTTCTTAGAATACAGCTCAAGAGATGTAATTTTGGGGAGAAGCAATGGGGCCGTTTAACAACTACCACTCCCATCTGAACAGAGATCAGGCACACTCTGGTACAGCCAGGTATGTTACAACAAGGCCCCACCAGTAAGATTTTACTTTCCCATCTAGTTTAAGTACAGCCCAAATCTTTATCCCCACTATGTAAGTGAAGAAAGACTCGTTTTTATTGCAACTGGACTCAAGGGAACTTTCTAAACATGTTACACCTAGTAAAAATTAGTGAATAATCAGCTCAAGTATTTGGGATATGGATGGGCATCATTTCTGTGCACTCCCATCCCAAATTATTTTGACTTACAGAACCCTCGCTAATCTTTCATTATTAACATTAAAATGCATATATTTTGTACATTTTGTTTTAAAGCACTTCAGGTTAAAAAAAAGTCTTGCAAAAATAATTGATCTACATAAAAAGTATTTAATATGGAGAATACCAAAGCACCTTTCATCAGGTAAAATCCCTGTGACATATATCAGATAATACTAATCAAATCTCCCTTTACCTGAAAAGAATTTCTGTTTGAATACAAAGTAATAAACTTCTTGTTCCCATCTTTTTTCAGACAAATCTTCAGCATCACTGAATTTGGGGGTCACAATTAATCCAGCAAAGAAATGATTGTGTTCTTCAAAAGAAAATAGCCAATACAAAGTTTTCTAGTTTAAAAACGGCACCATTGGAGGAAAGGGATATGTCTTTTAAGTGCAAAGTCCCTAAACAAGTGATTTACCAAAATTCATGCTAACTAAACTTTGAGTGGTTGCTTTCTATAACCTTCCTGTGATCCGGGGTAGAAAACAGAATAAAGTTAAAAAACAAAGCAAAACAGTAACTTTTAAGAATCAACACACAGACACACACACACACACCCCTGGCAGAGTGTGTTCTTCTTTGTTTTCTGCCAATTGTATCACCAGTCAGCGACCTCTACCACAAAGGGCGTTTTCACATCTATCTTGCCACTGTTGATGATGGAGCAGTTGGTGAGTGGACGGTCATGCCCATCAGTTGCCTGCAGTTCTATGGAGTGGACCACTGTCTGGTGAGAGAAAAGTAGACCCATGGATCACTTCTGACCAGCAACTGTGGTGATCAAGAGGTAAAATCAATGTGAAGTCTGAAAGCCCTAGTGGGAAATAAGTTGTTTTTGCTTTTTCTATAATTACAAAAACCATGCAAGATAACTATGGAAAATTTAGTCAGGAAATCTATATATAACAGAATAAAATTTACCCACTAGCTTGCTAATCAGAGAGCATATTTGTGTATTTCCTCTCTTCTTTTTATTAGCATTTTATATTCTAAAAAAATTATATATTTTTGCAAACATCTAGCGCTAGTAAAAAGTATTTCTATTCACTTGTTACAACCCAACTTAAGAGTTAACATGGAGTTTGAGACAATTTCAGCTCCACTCTATAAGAGGTCTAGGCATAAGAAAATGAGCCAGAAAGCAGATTTAGTAGTGGAGTTCTGGGTTTGTCCATTTTAAAGCTGACCCCAGCCAGTAATCTACAGATTGAGTCTGATACTAATGTAACCCCAACCCCACAGTCGTGGAAAAGGCCCCTTTCTCTACTCCGGAAGGCTTCACAAGCTCATGGACTAATTTGTGTCACATACTGGGCCAGGACTAGGCAAGTGGACTTCTGATGAGTTTCCCAAACAGCGTTGAGACAAAAATAGCAACAAAGTCTCTGAGCGCTTTGGACATGGTGTCAGCTAATCCAGTCTCTGGCTGACTTAGGTTAATTTAAGATAAAAGACCAGCATTCTTCTAATAATATCAATAATATATATTTCTAAATAGATTGTGTGTGGGGGTTCATATGTGCACATGTGTACCTAAAGCAGCAGCTACACATCCAAATTACCTGTGGCGCTTTAAAAACTGCTTATTTAACGGTTAAAATGGAAATTTCTATGTTGTGTATATTTTACCACAATTTTTTAACACGCTTATTCGCGGGCCCACCTCTGGAGGCTCAGGGGCTTTAAAAATAAACCACATGGGGCTGAGGGGTTTTAAAAATATTTTATTTCCAACTGTGGTAAGAAACACATAACATAAAATTTGCCATTTTATCCATTTCTAAGTGTACAGTTCATTAGTTTAAGCATATTCACACTATTGTGCAACTAACTCCAGAACTTTTTCATCTTATAAAACTGAAGATCTATAGAGATACCCACTGAAACTAGCTCCCCATTTCCTCATCCCCCCAGCCCCTGGCAACCACCATTCTGCTTTATGTTCCCATGTATTTGACTACTTTAGACACCTCATTTGAATGGAATCATACAGCCTTTTTGTGACTGGCTTATTTTCTTTAACATTACAAAGGTTTATTCATGTTGTAGCATGTGACAGGATCTCCTTCCTTTTTAAGGCTGAATAATATTTCATTGTATGTACATATGGGATTTTATTTGGTTGCTTTAAAAAGTTTCCACTTATTTCAAGTGTGAGATGAATTAAGTACTCAACTTCTCCCTGTCAAGTCCCCAGCTTCTGCCCCAATGCTCCTAACAATTAAAAATACCACACCATATATAATTTATTCACCTTTGAAGAGGCCAGTCAGCATATAATTATGGCTCTCTAACAAGCACATTTGGAGATTAAATCACTAAGAGTACTCTCAATATTTTTGAATGAGAAAAAATAATACATCAAGTTACCATTCCATCAATGACTTTTCCAAATACCACATGTTTGCCATCCAACCAGGTGGGCTTGGTCAAGGTGATAAAGAACTGAGAGCCGTTGGTGTCAGGCCCAGCATTGGCCATGCTGACCCACCCAATGCCATAATGCTTCAGTTTGAAGTTCTCATCGGGAAATGTCTCACCATAAATGCTTATACCTGAGTGAGACAAAACAAAAAGACGGAGAGACAACAGATGTTCTGTGAAAGTAAATTCTTCAAAGGGGAATATAAGGTTTGAGTAGATTGGTTAATAGAACCCTGTAGGAGGTGGGGATGGGGAAAAGATGGTCCAATATAAGGAGAAATAAAGCAGAGGATAAAATTAACGGGGACTTCCCTGGAGATCCAGTAGTTGAGATCCCATGCTTCCACTGCAGGGAGCATGTGTTAGATCCCTGGCTGGGGAACTAGGATCCTGCATGCCGCGCAGTGCAGCCAAAAAAATTTTTTTTTAAAATTAACTCCTTAAGGAAACAGGGCATCAGGGACCAAAACAAATAAACAAAAGCCTTAAGTATGACACAAGATGGGAGGATGCCCTCTGGCCTCAAACCAAGACCCAAACCCTGAGCAAGCAAGGCAGTGATTTCACTCTGAAACGAGAAGGAACTGAAGAGCAGGATCACACTGTGAAGCCCAATGGAAAGGTGGATAAGCCAACCTAATGGCTCCACCTCTGTCCTGAGGTTCAGGTCACTTGCCCTGGATCACTCCTACCTCTGCAGCCAACCAGAGTACAATACACACTTAATATACACCCTTAGTAAATTCTCACAACAATCCTATAGAATAGGTTTTCTCATTCCCATTTTGAATGGGAAACAGAGGTTATCAAACTTGAAAACAGCAGAGTAGAACTTGAACTTCTGGCTCTAACTCTGGTTCCCTAAGCACGAAGAGCCTCAGCACTGAGAACAACAGTGCAAGCCTGGAAGTCATTAGGCTTGATGACTTCAGGGCTCATCAGGATACAGAGGATCACAGCAACTGGCAGCACCCAGGGAGCCAACCTTGAACGGAAGAACCAAAGGCAGGCATGGGGGCTGGAGATCAAGCACAGCAGCAGGGAGAGCAGAACGCATTTTTCCTATAAAACAACAGTACAGACCATGAAAAGTATCTGCTCCATCCTCTAACACCCTGAGTGACTGTCACACCCACCTCCTCCACTGCAGGGCTCCTTATCCATTGGTGGCCAACCTTAAAGTCCTGGCTCAGTTAGCTCTTGTGTTATCTCCTTCTTACTATGCAGTACTTGTGAAGGACCAGGCAAAAATTCACTTCCCTAAGACTTGGGTCTCACATAGGCGTTTTTCTTCATTTATATACAACCAAAACTTCTTCATAGCTAATGGAGTTAACTTTTAAAACACAATATCTAGGGGCTTCCCTGGTGGCGCAGTGCTTGAGAGTCCGCCTGCCGATGCAGGAGACGCGGG